CCCCCAGTCCCAGCCCCTCCCTTGCGCCCAGGTGATAAAGAACGAGCGGCCGGACGGCATTCTGCTGACCTTCGGGGGCCAGACGGCGCTGAACTGCGGGGTGGCGCTGACCCAGGGCGGGGTGCTGGCCCGGTACCGGGTGCGGGTGCTGGGCACGCCCATGGCCTCCATCGAGATGACGGAGGATCGCAAGGTCTTCGTGGAGAAGATGGAGGAGATCGACGAGCACGTGGCGCCCAGCGAGGCGGCCTCCTCCCTGGAGCAGGTACGGGGGGGGGGGCAGACAATGGGGGGCCCCTCCCCGGGGCAGGTTGTTGGGGATCCCCAGGATCCCTGCTGTGCTCCAGTTTTCAGACAGTCCCTCAGTGAGGCAGCCCCCCGGGGGTCCCCCTGTCCCTTCAGGGCTGGCGCCCCAACGCCTCCGAGCCCCTGGGCTCCTGCCTCACCCCGTGAGCTCTGCCCAGCGAGTCCAGCTGAGCCGACTCACAGCCCCCCTGCCCCTCCCATACTGCCACCCGCTCCCCCATCCCCCCACGGCACTTCCCCCTGCTCCCCCTGCAGCACAGCCCCCACCCTCACTGCTCCCCCTCCCCAGTGCCCCTTGCTCCCCCTGCAGTGCTGCCTCTGTTCTCTGCTGCCCCTTGCTCCCCCACGGGGCAGTCCTAGCCCTGCTGCCAGTCGGCCCCTCTGACTCCTTGGTCTGGTCCTGGCAGGCTCAGGCCGCGGCCTCGAGGCTGGGCTACCCGGTGCTGGTGCGCTCGGCCTATGCCCTCGGGGGTCTGGGCTCCGGCTTCGCCAACAGCCGGGAGGAGCTGACAGCGCTGGTGAGCCAGGCCTTCGCGCACACCTCCCAGGTGCTGGTGGACAAGTCCCTGAAGGGCTGGAAGGAGATTGAGTACGAGGTGGTGCGGGACGCCTACGACAACTGCATCACCGTAAGGAGGGGAGCGGAGGCACCGGGCAGGGGGAGCTGCTGTGGGGAGGGGGGTGGGCGGGCAGGGGGAGTTGGGGAGTGCCCAGGGAGGGAAGGGGGTGGGGGGGCAGGGGGTTTGGGGGCACTCGGGCAGGGGGGTGCCCAGGGGGAACCAAGGGAGAGGATTGCTCTAGGGAGGGGCAGGGAGACCTTCCTCCAGGCTGGTGAGCTGGGCCGGGTGTAGGGTGCAGACGGAAGGGGCCCCACCCCCATTGGGCTCCCCGGCCTCATGCGTGTGCTGGGGGCTGGGTGTCTGCCAGCTCCGGCGCCCCCAGAAGGCTGGGCGGGAGTTGCGTGCTGGCCTGTGGCCTGGCTCTGACTCCAGCCCCCGAGCCTGTCCTCGGGGGGAGGGGCTGGCGTGTCCCTAATGCGCCCAGCGGGGGCCCCTGGGCTGGGGAGCCTGCCCCGCCCCTTGCAGTGCCCCCCATGCCCAGCGTGCTGGGGCCGTGGGCATCAGAGGGAGGCAAAGCCCGCAGAATGCACTCGGCTGCTCCCCCCTCGCGCCCCGCAGCCAGCGGCCTGTGGAGAGCAGCCTGGGGCCGGGGCCCCGCGTCTCTGCGCCAGTCTAGGCCGGGCTGGGTGGCCTCCCTCCCTGCAGCAAGGGGCAGTGGGGTGAACCGCTCCCCCCGGCAGGTCTGTAACATGGAGAACCTGGACCCGCTGGGCATTCACACGGGCGAGTCCATCGTGGTGGCCCCCAGCCAGACGCTGAACGACCGGGAGTACAACATGCTACGCCACACGGCCATCAAGGTGGTCCGGCACCTGGGCATCGTGGGCGAGTGCAACATCCAGTACGCGCTGAACCCCGAGTCGGAGCAGGTGAGAGCCGGCCAGCGGGCCCCAGCATGCATCGCATGGGGCCTGGGACTCTGGGACAGCCCCGCCTTGCCCTCCTCCAGCCTGCTGCCCGTGCACTGCTCCGAGCCGTTCCTCTGAGCGCTGGCAGAGCGCCCCAGCATCCCTGGCCCGGCTCTGTGCCCGGAGCAGTGAAAACTTCCTAAAAGTGGGGGCCATCAGTGCCTGGACTGAGGCCCCGCCCCCTGGCCGCCCCTTCCCCCGAGGCCCTGCCCTCTGCTTGCTCCTCTCCATCCCTCCTCCCATCACTGCTCCATGCCCGTACAAAGTGGGAGGGATAGCCCCCTGATCCCTCCTTGTCCAGCGCCCCTGCTCTGTGCCCCTGCCTGGCCCCGGAGATGGAGGGCAGCGGGAGGAGCCGGGGTCTGGCCAGCTGTAGCAGCATCTCATGCCCTTCTCTTCGCCCGCAGTATTACATCATCGAGGTAAACGCCCGGCTCTCACGGAGCTCCGCCTTGGCCAGCAAGGCGACCGGCTACCCGCTGGCCTACGTGGCAGCCAAGCTGGCTCTGGGCATCCCCCTGCCCGTCCTCAGGTAATGGCTTTGGGGTGGGGCCCGTGGGCTCAGTGCTGCTGGGCGTGACATCTCCTGGCAGGGTGTGGCGCAGACTCCAGAAGGCTCCTGGCCTGTGGGGTGGGCTCTTTTCACCTGGCCTGCGAGCCGGGCGGCAACCGGGCCGTGAGCCGCTGTGGCCAGGCCCTGGGTCCAGGCCTCCTTGGGCCATTTCTCCTCACGGGGTGCTGGGAGGGTCAGACGGGCAGCGGGGGACACTCCTCAGGGAGTCACTGCCCCTTCCAGACCGTGTCCCCCCTAAAGCCCCAGGCCTGGTAAGTTCCCTCTTCTGGGTGTCTGGCCCCTGGGGTGCCCGCTGCTGGGGGCTAGCTGCTGAACCTGCTCTGTCCCCTAACCCCCAGGAACTCCGTCACCAATTCCACCACGGCCAACTTTGAGCCCAGCCTGGATTACTGCGTGGTGAAGATCCCGCGCTGGGACCTCAGCAAGTTCCTGCGGGTCAGCACCAAGATCGGCAGCTCCATGAAGAGTGTGGGTGCGTGGCACAGCAGCCCCCGCCACATCCGGACTCCTGTGCTTCCCAATCTGGCCAGCGGCACCTGGGACTCCCCACCCTGACCCTGGGCGGCTCCCCCCGGCCTTTCCGACTCAGGCTGTGCATAGGGGGCATCCCTCCCTTCCCGACGTGGGGCAGCTCGCTGGGGGCTGCCCCCTCGCAGAGGCCGGCGCGTGCCTCCTCCGGCCTGGTCCTGGCCGCTCACCGTGTCTCCTCTCCTCCCGCAGGGGAGGTCATGGCCATCGGGCGGAACTTCGAGGAGGCCTTCCAGAAGGCGCTGCGCATGGTGGATGAGAACTGCGTAGGCTTTGACCACACCGTGAAGCCAGCCTCCGACGTGGTGAGTGGGGGGCCGGGGCGGCTCTGCGGGGCACGAAGCGCTCCCATGCACTCTGGGGGCGGGAGCTGCTCCCGGTGCTGTCCCGAGGGCCCTGGGGACCCAGGCTGGGCCCCCCATGAGGGCTGGGGTCTCTCCCGGATCCTGGCTGAGCTGCTCCCTCCCGGCAGGAGCTGGAAACGCCCACTGACAAACGGATCTTCGTGCTAGCGGCCGCCCTGCGAGCCGGCTACCCCATCGAGCGGCTCTACGAGCTGACCAAGATCGACCGCTGGTTCCTGCACAAGATGAAGAACATCACGGACCACGCGGTGCAGCTGGAGTGCTACCGCGAGGGGCAGAGCTCTATGCCCCCCGACGTGCTCAAGAAAGCCAAGCAGCTGGGCTTCTCCGACAAGCAGGTGGCCTTGGCCGTGCTCAGGTAATGCCCGGCGCAGGGCTGGGGGAGTCAGCCCGGCACGGAGGGAGGGGACGGGGCGTGATGGCCACATCCAGCAGCTGCTTCTCTGAGTGGGAGGGAGCTGATGACAGCTGACAGCTCCCAGCATGCACTGCAGCCTGCTTGGCAGGATCAGCTGGGCGTGCCAGGTGTCCGGTCGATGTACTGACCGGACACCAAAAGTCCGGTTACCGCAGGTGGGGGCGGCGGCGGCTGGGTCATCAACCTGCACCAGCCCCTGCTCGGCCAGGGCCGCCTCCTCCCTGCATCTTGTGGGCAGGCAGCCGGCTCTGCCAGGCTGTAGCTCCTGTCCCAGGTCGGGAGCAGAGGGAGCCCAGCTGGTGGAGATGATGGAGTGTGGAAGAAGGGGGAAGGGAGAGAGCAGTGGAAGAAGGGGGCTGGGGTGTGAGTGGGGGGGACGGACGGCCTGGAGGGGCGTGAGTCGGGGGGGGGGGGGGGGGGGGGGGGCAGGGCAGGGCTCCTGCTACAGCGTCCGGTGTCAGAAATGAGAGAGCTGCTGCCCCGGATGTGCTGGCGAGGTGCAGCTGTGCGTGCTGGGGTCCGTAGTCTCTGGGCTGTGCTGTGTGTTGGGGGGGCCCTCTCCCTCTCTCAGCCCTGCCCTCCCTGCAGCACTGAGCTGGCCGTGAGGAAGATGCGGCACGATCTGAAGATCCTGCCCGTGGTGAAGCAGATCGACACGGTGGCGGCAGAGTGGCCGGCGCAGACCAACTACCTGTACCTGACGTACAACGGGACGGAGCACGACCTGGCCTTCCGCGAGCCCCACGTCATGGTGATCGGCTCCGGCGTCTACCGCATCGGCAGCAGCGTGGAGTTTGACTGGTGCGCCGTGGGCTGCATCCAGGAGCTGCGCAAGGTCAGCGGGCGGGGCGGGGCGCGCTGGCCTGGGTTCCTCGCACCCTGGATCTCCCCGTGCCCCCACGCTGGCCTGGCCGGCTCAGGGCTCCCCTCTCTTACAGATGGGCTTCAAGACCATCATGGTGAACTACAACCCGGAGACGGTGAGCACCGACTACGACATGTGCGACCGCCTCTACTTCGACGAGATCTCCTTCGAGGTGAGCCCGGCGTGGGGCTGGGCACGGCCTGGGAGTGCGTGCCAGGGTGCTCACGCCTACGCTGGGGCTGGGGGCCGGGGAGCCAGGGGGAGCCGGTGCGACTAGGGGGGCCCAGGTGGCCGAGGGGAGCTGCCTTTGCTGGCCAGACTGCCATACAGCGGGGGGGAAGGGGGCGGGGGGGCCGTGCAGCCGGGGGGGGCCCGTCTGGCCGGGTGCCTATGCCATCGGGGGCCCGTGCTGTGGGGGGGGGGGGCCGCCCCGCTCCCCGCCCCCTGGCTGCACTGCCTCCTGGCCCCGGCAGGTGGTGATGGATATCTACGAACTGGAGAGCCCCGAGGGCGTGATCCTGTCCATGGGGGGGCAGCTGCCCAACAACATCGCCATGGCGCTGCACCGGCAGCAATGCCGCATCCTGGGCACCTCCCCCGAGGCCATCGACTCGGCCGAGAACCGCTTCAAGTTCTCCCGCCTACTGGACACCATCGGCATCAGCCAGCCCCTCTGGAAGGAGCTCTCCGACATGGAGGTGAGGGGGGGATGCTGCCCCCTCCGTGTGTGCTGTGGGGTGGGGGAGGGGTTGCCCGGCCCAGCTCCCTCCGGAGCGTGTCGCGGGGGGGGGAGGGGTTGCCCGGCCCAGCCCCCCCCATGCCCGCCGTGGGGCGGGGGAGGGGTTGCCCGGCCCAGCTCCCCGCATGCGTGCCGTGGGGTGGGGGAGGGGTTGCCCAACTCCCCCCGGGCGTGCCACGGGGCGGGGGAGGGGTTGCCCAGCTACCCCGTGCATGCCATGGGGCAGGGAAGGTTGCCCAGCCTGTCTCTCTGCCCGCAGTCGGCCAAGCAGTTCTGCTGCAAGGTGGGCTACCCGTGTGTGGTGCGCCCCTCCTACGTGCTGAGCGGGGCTGCCATGAACGTGGCCTACTCCGACAGCGACCTGGAGAAGTTCCTGTGCAGCGCCGTGGCCGTGTCCAAGGAGCAGCCCGTCGTCATTTCCAAGTTCATCCAGGAGGCCAAGGTCAGCGCGGGCCCGGCTCCGTGGGGGGTCGGCCACAGGGGGCCACTTCCTGGCAGCTGCTGGCAGAGCTTCGCTCGGGGTCCTGTGGGGCCCTGAACACCCCCACCCCTCTGCCGGGGCCTGGACCCCGGTCACACTGGCGGAGACGCCCGACTCTCCGTGGCTCCAGCCCGGGCAGGCTGCCCGTCTGGCTCTTCGTGCTGCGGGGGCTGGATAGTTCCCGGAGGGGTGGGGTCAGGCACTGCCTGGCAGATGGGGATCACTCAGGTTTGCAGTGGGGGGCTGAGTAGGCGAGGTGGTGCTGGGGGGCACTGGGGCGTGGGGATGGCACCGGTAGGGAGGGGCTCCGGGGGGGGTTCACTCGGTGTGGTGTGTGCAATGGGAGGTGCTGAGGGTGGGGGTGGTACCAGCATGGAGGGGCTGGGGAGGGCAGGGAGGAGCTGTGTGTGTGCGGGGGGTGGTACCGGCAGGGAGGGGGGGGGGGGGGGGGGGGTGCACTCGGGTGCAGGGGGGGCTGGGGGCGCTCAGGGGTCCGGTTGTCCCTCCCCTCCCGCAGGAGATCGACGTGGACGCCGTGGCCTGTGATGGCGCAGTGGTGGCCATCGCAATCTCGGAGCATGTGGAGAACGCGGGCGTGCACTCGGGGGACGCCACGCTGGTGACGCCGCCCCAGGACATCACGCCCAAGACCCTGGAGCGGATCCAGGCCATTGTGCACGCCATCGGGCAGGAGCTGCTGGTCACGGGGCCCTTCAACCTGCAGCTCATCGCCAAGGTACCGCCGTGGGGCAGCAGGGACCCGGGGACCAGTCAGCCTCAATGCCCTGAGTTGGGAGGGGGGAGGCAGCGGGCACCTTCCCCGCTGACAGCTTTGGGCTCTGCAGCGTCTCCTGCAGCTGGCCACACGTCACATCCAGGCCAGAGTTGCCTGGGACTGGGCCCCTGGATGCGGCGGGAGGGCGGGAGCAGCGTGCTGGGGTCCGAGGGGGCCTGGCCCTGCCCCTGCCCTTGCCCTGCCTCTCCGGGTGCTCAGTGCCCTGCGGAAGGGGGAAGCAAGCTGGTGCTCCACACATCTCACTTGCTGATTCCCTGCTTGGCTCATTCCCTCCGGGACACCTGCAATGGCCACCGTGGGAAGACAGGACACTGGGCTAGAGGGGCCTTTCCTCTGACCCAGCGCAGCCGTTCTCTTCTGACCGCGGAGGATAGGTCCATCGGGCTTTAGCCAGCCTGGGCAGGGTGAGTTTGGGTCTCCAGGTGCTGGGATGGGTCACCCCACGCTCCCGTCTGTCTGCAGGACGACCAGCTGAAGGTCATCGAGTGCAACGTGCGTGTCTCCCGCTCCTTCCCCTTCGTCTCCAAGACGCTGGGGGTGGACATGGTGGCCCTGGCCACCCAGGTGATCATGGGCGAGGAGGTGGAGTCGGTGGGACTGATGACAGGCACTGGGATCGTCGGTGTCAAGGTAAGCGGGTGGGGAGCGGTGGGTGGGGTGGCCACGGCTGTCTGGCTTGCTGAGCCCCCCCTGCCCTCTGCACCCCCAGGTTCCCCAGTTCTCCTTCTCGCGGCTGGCGGGGGCAGACGTGGTGCTGGGCGTGGAGATGACCAGCACGGGCGAGGTGGCCTGCTTTGGGGAGAACCGCTGTGAGGCCTACCTGAAAGCCATGCTGAGCACCGGCTTCAAGATCCCCAAGAAGAACATCCTGCTGACCATCGGCAGCTACAAGGTGAGGGCGGGGCAGGGCCGCGGCACATGCTCAGAGACGCTGGAGGCGAAGGTTCAATCCTGGCGCTGGATGGCTGCAACGCAGCGTAGACTCAGAACACGAACATGCAGCAGCCAACAGCAGCGGGAGACGAAGCAGGCTGCTCCTGAGGCAGGGAGGCCCAACGCTGCACCTTGCTCTAGCCTGGCTCCTCGCAAACTGACTTGGTCCAGGGTTAGGGTTAGGTGACAGGCAGTCACCTCTGTCATGGACCCCCAGAGCCGGGCTACGCCCCAGCCTGGGAACAGTCCCTGGGAGGGGCCTTCAGTGACCCTGACCCCCCCCGGGGTCTCACTCTTCTCCCAGGGTGAGCCACGTGGCCTCCCCGCCTCCTGAGACTGGGCCCCTGGGCCTGCAGCCCCCCCGCCCCACCCCGGGAGCTCCGGGCAGCGAGTCTGGGACAGACCTGGGGGAGACGTGTACAATCTGGGGGAGCAGCACCCCCCTGCCAGCGTCTGCGGGGACACCCAGCCAGCGCGGGCAGACAGGCAGGTGTATCCGCGGCCTGGTGCACGGCACAGGCAGCCCTGGGGGAGCCCAGAGAAGTGAAGGTCCCAGCAGAGTCCGTTCTGGGCAGCCGGCGCCCAGCCCAGCTGCAGTGACCCCCGTGGTTCAAGCTCTGTCCCCCCATCTGTCCGATCTCCTTTGTCAGACTCCTGGGGTGCCCCCAACTGCTCCCCACAGCTCACACTTAACCCCCCCCCCGGCCTTTGTTCCTGAGCTGGGGGATGCGGCTCAGCCCCCTGCGGAGAGGCGGGACGGCCACGTCTCTCTGGGTCACTGGTTGCCAGGTGTCCACGTCCCGGCCATTGGATCTGCCCTTCTCTTCTCAAGAGCTGCATGGAGATGGGCCCTAAGGGCCGAGGCCACCAGGCGCCCTCCACCCCGTGTCTTCGCCTGCCCCAGAGCTCCCACCAGCAGGGGAACAGTGCCGCACACGGGGGAAACTGAGGCACACACAGGACTCAAAAAAGCATTACTAACAATTCCCATTGTGTCCCAGCCCTCTAGGCTGCGAGCAGGCCCAGGAATCCCTGCTCCTAGTGCCAGCTCAGTACAGCGGGGCCATGCGGGTGAAGGGGCCCTGGGGCAGAGGGGTGCTGGGCTGCCCAGGCCTGGCCTGTTCTGACCCCTCTGGTGGCTGTTGCAGAACAAGAGTGAGCTGCTGCCCACAGTGCGCACCCTGGAGAGCCTGGGCTACAACCTGTACGCCAGCCTGGGCACTGCCGACTTCTACACCGAGCACGGCATCCAGGTACCGGCTGGGGGCGGGCTGCCGCCTCTCCTAGTGTGGCGCGGCCGGGGGCGAGCTGCCGCCTCTCCTAGTGTGGCGCGGCCGGGGGGCGGGCTGCCGCCTCTCCTGGTGCGATGCGGCCGGGGGGCAGCTTTCAGGTTGGGGTGAGGCTCCCAGGCCTGTCCCAGGCTGCTGGACCTGCACCAGAGGCGTGGGGCCAGTGCCCAGGTTACTGGCATGGGGTGGCACCCCTTCCATGCTGGGTCCTGGGAGCAGGGCCACCATTCCCTTGTCCCCCAGTCTGTCCCCAGGTCTCTAGAGCAAGGAACCCCCCTCCCCGCCCCCAGTCTGTGCCGGGCCCCGGGAGCAGGGCCACCACTCCT